TAGTCAAGTTATGTTACAGATATGATGGTAAAGTAATGATATGACTGATAGTCAAGTAATAGTACAGACATGATGGTAATGGTATGACTGATAGTCAAGTTATGGTATGGATATGATAGTAATGATATGCCTGATAGTCAAGTTATGGTACGGATATGATGGTAATGATATGACTAATAGTCAATTATGGTATGGATGTGATTGTAATGATATGACTGGTAGTCAAGTTATGTTACAGATATGATGGTAAAGTAATGATATGACTGATAGTCAAGTTATGGTACAGATATGATGGCAAAGTAATGATATGCCTGATAGTCAAGTTACAAAATGGACTGTAATTGGATATGTAATTATGTGAATTAAAAGTATAATTATTAAATAAACTAATAAACATATAAGTACATTAACACAACTAATTTCAATGAATGAGCTAACAGATAAATAAATTCATAGACTACTAAACATACATGTAGGTGTTACACTGCATGAGCTAGCTAGGGTATACAGTGACTTCATAAGAAAATTAGCTGCATCCACAATGGGAAAAGTAAGCAGTGGGTGGGTGGGATTATCAGTGAACATTACAAGACTTTCATACATAAAAAATCAGATTTTTAATTAAATATTATGATTTTTCAATTAAAGATTTGCTCAGGAAATCTTTTTTCCATCCAACATGCAAAGTAATTTTGATTTTAAGATTAAAAATACTTTCTTCATCTCAAAATTGTCAAATTTTGTTTGCATAATCTCTATAACCTCTAAATAACTACTATCAAACGTTTTTTTAAGAAAAAAATGTATATTTTATCTGTTATTTTCTCCACCTTAATTCTAAACCGGGTTGGCCAATTTGAGTGACCTCATAACCATCATAAAAAATTAGGAAACAAACCTAAATTAACTTTTTTTTTGTTCTAGAATGACTGTAAATTGTAACAGGAAACCACAAATGTTTATTCTAAATAAATTAAAGCTTGTAACAGTATACATCTATTTATATTTATTAATTTTCTTTGTTTTATTGACTTTTGAATCATGTCTACTAAAAATCCCACTACACAAGTTGTAAATCATATGGCACACGTGCAGTTCATGTTACCATATTGAATAGCATAAAACTGGCCTTTACAAAGTACAAATGTCTTACTCTTCTTAGTCTTAGTATCAGCATACGAGTATTTTGTAAAACACAATGACATTTCAGTTACCATATATTACATATGTATGCATGTTATTACTATTTACAAATAAATTCTTAAATTTCAATTATTTTTCTTAAAACATAGAACAATAAATAAAATATATATATATAGAAAACAATGATCTGTACTACTTACGATGTTACAAACTTTTTTGTATTTATGTGTCGTACTTGCTAATAAGCCTTGTTGAATTTTGCATGTGGTGGATGTAAAAAAAATAATTTTTATACATTTTATATATGTATTTTGAAACAAAAAGTTATAAATTACTATACAATTACCACAAAATTCCATTGTAATTTATTAGGCTTCATAACAAAGCTGTACTTGGGTTTAAGCAATCACCTTTCCTACAAGCAGATCACCGTGATTATCACTCTTCAAACTCTTCAACAGTAATAATGGCTTTACCCGTGTAAATACTTTATAAAGACTGACAGAATTGCGTAGTTCAAAACTAGCACTTTTGATTGGTTATAAACATGTAACTGAGAGATGTGGGCATAGGTAAACAAGTATTTTCAAAAGAGGAAGAGGTGGGAAGAGTCACTGTGGTGGGTTGGCTAAATATAATATCTCATTAAATGGAAAAGGTAAGAGGTTTCTATTTTATGTTCTAGTTTGTCAATTTAAGTTTCTAATTCATTAAAAACTGTAGGCTTTACATTTTATGAAACTCACAATAAAATCTGAGCAAATGCAGAAGGTGATGTACCATGTGACACACACACACACAAAATCGATATTTAGCAATTTAAAAAAATTTTTACTTTTGAACTAAGAAATTAAATAATGTATAAGACTAAAATTTGATTCTAAATTTATTGACATATAAAATAACAGTTTAATAAAATTTTGAATGCAAATCAACAAAACGTGATGACTGCACTCTGACCCCAACCCATATAGAAGGGGTTAAATGAATTATAAAAATAAATTTATTTGTACCTAATAGCTTTTCTGTTAATTTGAGTACCAAGCCAGAGAAACCATACATATGGCTTAATGAAATGATCCATATTTGATTGTGAGATTTGAATAAGGAAACACAATATTTCCAAATCACATGATCAATTACGTATTATTTGTAAATACGCAACATATTTGATGTTATAGCACTTTTCAAAACATTTTTATCTGGCCTGGTTTAAAATGATCACAGTTAACCCTTTCGAAACTGGTCATGGGTGAAAGGCCATGTCATCTCATTTGTTGACTCGCATTCAAAATTTTATAGAACTACTATTTCATGAATTTATGTCAATAACTTTAGTATCAAACTGTAGATTATAATTCAAATTTTAGTACTCTATATTATTTAATTTCTTAATTTAAAAGCAAATATTAAAAAAACACAGAAAACATTGATTTTTGCGTGACCCTTGGTATGTTGAATGCAGCACTGGTTCAAATTAGATGTTTGTGATGTCAAAAGACTAAGTCTTTAGTTTCATAAGAATTAGAAACTCATATTACGGATATTGACAAGCCAGAATATAAAATAAGAAGGTCTTATCCTTTCTGTTTGCTAACATATTGCTCTTGTAATAAATCAAACCCAGTGGCACTCCACCCACCTATTTCCATTTTTGGAAACACTCGCTTATATATACTTACTTCTATATATGAAAGGAATAACCAATTAGAAGCTAAGAATGTCCCTCCAATGGCTCTCTCAGCCATTTTAATGGTCTCTGCACCATTTT